GCATCTCGTTGTGTCCCTGGGTAAGACACTTCACCCCAAATTGCTCCTGTCGGGATTGCCCACACTATTGAGTATGTAAGTTGCTTTGGATAAAAGTGTCTAAGTAACGTGTAATGTAAGTGTGGACACATAAGATTTAGCAGACATTATTTGTTTAAATGTTCTTTTAGAGCCAACACCTTGCTTAATAATAATATATATTATTTTAAATGTGCAGAAGATAATGTCTCTGCTGGTTCTGAGCAATCAACTGTTCCAAAGCCAAGGACATTCAAATAAAAAATATTACAGAGAAGAAACCAAAAATCGTACTTTTTGTCCAGTTGGAAGGGACAAATGTTTGGCATGTTTGCCTGATAACTCAAATTCAGTTAGAAAAGCTTAAATTATATAAATTGAAAAACTGCTGATGATTCAGTTTCTGTCTATTTTATCCTCTCATCATTTCAACAATACTTAACAATGTTTTGCATTTGCCAGGAAATTCCCCGCCTCCACTACCAAATGTCAACAAACCCAATCAAACCGACACCTCCAGTAAGTAGACTGCTGTACATTCTTTACACATCATAATGCTTTTCTGTGTGTATTCCAGCATCATAGAAGCTTTGTAATCACAATGCAATTTCACATGCTTACGTGCTTTATATGAGTGCTAAACACAGCAGAATGCTAGCAAAAAAACCCACTGCAAGCATAGTCACGTTTCAATCCTTTTTTTTGTAACCACGGCTTTCAAAAAGACAGGAGTATAAATTCACACTAAAAAGAAGAGTCCAGGGTTAACGTTTATTTTGAAATACCAACAGCATTATGACTAACTAAGATTTGATTGTTGTAACCCTTAACCTATTGAGGTGAATTTCTTATGGATGCTGCAACTTAAGTCACAAAACCCCTCGTTGCAGGGAAGTTTAGTTGGCCAAGGGAAGTTTGAGTGTAGAATTTATTCAGGTATTTGTTTAAAATAAAATGATCGTGTTGTTTTTAATGTTTCCACAAGTTTCCCAGGAACCAAACTGAGTCTTATTCAGAATATTATGATGCATGTGTTTTCAATGTAATGGCTTTTTCATCATTAATGCCCCTATGACTACTGTTAATTTCTGTCCCATGTCATTTTGAAAGCGCAGCTGTGTCAAAGTGAACCAGCAGCCGGTTAGGTTTACCATTTCACAGAACATATTTTTTAGTTTGGGATGTTTTTGGGCTTAACTTTGGTTGACTATATATCAAAGGGTCGTTTACGGACATAAAGTAATATAATATAGACCAATATGTCCACCTTTGATGAACAAACACCCAGCTCCTCTCAAGTCCAATTTCCTAATAAAATCAAATTACAAGGGTCATCTAGTATATACAGGAAATAAACAAAACTAAAAACAAACCCAAAACAAAAGGCGGCATACATCATATGTTGTTAAACACGCAAGTGGTCTTTCACTTCCTGAGCGAGACAGAGACATCTCACACAATATCTCTCAGCAAGCTAACCGCATACTGACGTCATCAAACAGCCAATATAAAACCCTGAAGGCAAGGGAAGAGCATTGGTCATAATGATTTCTCTGAAACTTTCCTTGGCAGTAATATCTGCATTAAGTTTTTGGACTATAGAGCACGCTGCAGGCTGTGGGGAACGTCAGCGTCCGGTAGATGGGCGATGCTGTAATGAGTGTCCTCCAGGTAAAACACTTAATTCATCTTTTAATTATTAGATAATATGTGTTTGAAATAGTTTTGTATACTTGTCTGTCATGTATGTTCATGTAAATGACTGGTTTTATTGTTTCTTATCATTAAAGGTACATATATGAAGGACTATTGCACAGAGAAACAACAAACTGCCTGTAGACCCTGTGAGGAAGGTTTCTACTCAGACCAATATAACATCTTCGACAGATGTGAGGAATGCCGATCATGCCTATATGGTAAGACTGAAATTAATGTTTGTAAAAGTTTGATTTAGACAAAATGAATAGTCCTCCTCTCTTTTGGGATATCTATAGTGAAAAACCTGTTGATATGTGCAATACATTTAATTATGCATTTTAGTGGAAACAATACAACACTGTTGTTCCTGGGAGTCCTGTGGTTTGAATTCTTGTCTGTCTACAGAATATGCTGAGAAATGTCAGAACACCGCAAATGCAAACTGCTCGTGCCACAATGGTTTCCTGTGCTCCAACAATGTTTGTTCAGAGTGTCAGGAAAACAAATGCGTCACGGGGGAAAAACCAAAGAAAACAGGTGAGAGTGGACATTTCTCTTTTCAAATGAATGCTGCGTTTACACAAAGCAGGTTTGAATAACTTAAATTTGAGTTTTTTTATTTTATATTTGAGTATCATGTCATTGGATGTCAAGGGTGGCAAATTGAAATAAATGTGGGTTGGACACAGCCTTGGAATATAGGTTGGATTAATGCTCCAACCTACTCTCATGTAACCACAATAACAAATGACAGTATCTTTATATCTCAAATCACGCTCACAGAATTGATGGGGATTTCCCAAATCGTTGTCACATCGGTCATTCAGTCATAGAAAGCTGAGTGTCAAGAACTGTGCAAAAGTGTTTGCTAACTTTTAAGCAATAGGAAATGCAGGGAGTGGGCTGCTGACTGGCATTTGTGTCTGTACCGTGATCAGAAGAAAATATTAATAATGATCTTTAGGAGCATTTGGAAGTCAAAACACTTGACAACACAATACTTTTACACCAGTAATGCCATCTATGGGTTGACTTGAAGAATTACTTTCGTCGTGATGTTCTGGGGCTTTGTCTGAAAGTGTTTATCGATAGATTATATGTAAGTTATCTATCAAATATATCTAACTCTTCTAATTATTTTGTTTCTTGTCGTCAATGTTCAGCTTTTCAGATATGATAATGCTTTGATCTAAATGCAAATGATAAAATGTTAATATATTAATAATAATAACGATAGCCTAGACCACATTTAAAATAAATCTAAATCATCATTTAACAATCTGCCATCTCTTTCTGCAGAGATAGCCTTGGACGCCAAGATGATAAATTATATGTATCAGTGTGAGCTTTTAAAAGAAGAAAGTGCCAGTAAGTTGATGCAAAATTATTGTTTTTATTTGATGACTTTGCTGAGTTAAACTAACATGACAATGATTTTATGTTTCACCAGATCTTACCAGTGAACTAAGTCCAGAGAGACGCAGAGATGGTGTAGACTACGTTCATGTGATCCTTGGCATCGGCTTTGTTCTGGTTTCTCTCACCCTCCTTGTGTTTCTCTCTAATGCCTGTGTAAAGAACCTAAAGAAGTATAGAGCACGTAAGTGGGCCTTAAAGATAACACTTATTTAACTATCAAATTACATTTCATTTAGCTGACCCTTTTATCCAAAACAACTTATAAGTGCAATCAATGATGAATGTACAAACTCAAGGAACAACAATCCTGCAAGTACTTTTTCTTAAAATCTGCCAAATCTGCTACTAACAGAAATGACCCTTCAATACAAAAAAAACATTTAACTCACTGAAAATGGATCTTGTCAAAAAATGTAAAAACAGAATTATAAAGAGCTTATTCGAAAAATGTTGCTGAAAGAAATGTAAAAAATGCATTCAACTTATGTTTGTAGTGTTTGCACTGCTCATTTCTAATTTCATTGGAATTTTACTCAAGAGATAACACCGTTGATAACATAGAAAACATATTATGTTTTAGATGAAACATGTACACATTATATACACATTTAAGAATAAGCAGCATTAGCATTGAGGAGCCTCAATGGAGAACAATATCATTTTTAAACTACGTATCATACATGAAATCACGGTATCAAATCGTAGGGAAAGTGTACTGTAGTTGAGTGTATAGAGCATTTTAACATGACTTTGTTCGTATTTACCCTAGATAACTATCCTAAAGAGGTCTTAGCGGTGTCCATCAACACGAGTGACACCCGCCTGTCGAAGGAGGAGAGTGGGAGCGTGCTCATCATGCAGGACGAATCCAAGAACAACAGTATTGGCCCCCTGTGTCTGGAAGAAGTCGGGTTGCAGTTTATTCAGTCTGTTGGATAATATAATATTGATGTAATTGTACAAATCATCTTGTTTGTTATTAGCAGACATTTACATATAAACCTGTTTGGGTTACAGAAGCACATTTCCCGGTTTCCATCAGCAGCAGGGAAGTGAAAGACCAGGATTTGTCTTACGAACAGGTGAAGGTATTATAACTGGAAACCTTGTTCAAAAGTATGTTATTTAGAAGAACTAAGTTCATAGGTCCGACATTCAGCCGTTTTAAAGTGAGTTGTTCTTATTTTGAAGGATTTGTTTAAAAAACCTAACAAACCAAAAGGCTTATGGCCATACTAATGGTAATTTCTAAACATTGCATACTTGCATTAAAGCAAAGTATTATATAGGATGTATTATACAGTTAAGTGTATTCAGCTAATATAACACCATATACACCAAAGCAGACAGCATCCTGGAAGCAAGACCTGTAGTTTGTGGTCGCAGATGATGAATCTGTTACTTATGTGTAATGTATTATGTATTTATTTCCCTTTGTGATTTTGTTTGTTATGTAATGTACAGTATGCATGTATTCATGCTGTGACAGCAGTAAAATTATAGTTTTATTGTGTATTTTAATCTCTTGACTTGTTCTCTTATTTCAAAATTAAGAAAAAAATGAAAAGGGGCCCTGGTCCTGGTCTGTTTTGAATTTCTCCCTAGGCTTCAGATAAATCGTCTCTTTAGTTTCTTTTTTAAAGGCAACATTTATTCTCTTTTTTATTTGTATAACTCTATTTTTTACTGGATGAGTAGGGGTATATTTACACTACATTAAAGATTTCAACATGACACCAAAAGGTTAATTAGCTCAAAAATGTTATAGAAAACAACAGTTAGTGAAAATGGTGGTCATTAAGTTATATTTCATCCCCACTCATGCTTTCAAAACAAGCAAACATGCAATGACAACAAAACACAAGTAGCACCCACCCACCTCCCCCATCAGACTGACACATCACTGCTATAGTGGAGGACAGCTTCAAAATCAAAAATCTCAAACCTGTTAGAAATCCAAACCCTTACACTCCTGTTGCTGACTTTTAGGTAGCAAAACCTTTAATAGCAACACAATTTTTGACACAAATAAACATTTATATATGGCTCTTGAGGGCTCTGAAGTGAAGTGTACTTCTTAAGCTGAATCCATCAATCAAAGTCAATCAAAGTTTCTTGTTCTTTTGTCTCCGAGGGCTTTACAGTTTATCCAGAACATGAATACGTCGGAGATTCCCGGAGCTGTAAGCTTTTAAAAATATTTATTGAAGAGAGAACAGTCACTGTGTTTCTCCTTGCACTGTCTACAACGTGACACAAAGCTTCCAAATAAAAGTGGGACTGGTCAGAGGAAGTGAAATAAAATATTATAGCAACTCAAAGATATTGTTAAAGACACGTGCACTTTCAGAGCAATTGAAAGTACATTTGTTATAAATGTTGTTGTATCCACAGAATACAAGGCTACCAAATAAAACAACATGGACTAGCTCCATGGCATAATGCCGAAACCCGCAAAAATAAAGCAAAAGTCGAGACAACTTGAAAGGATATGGCGTTCCACTAAACTTGAAGAATCTCGTTTAATTTGGCATATTACTCTCAATGAATATAAGAAAGCATTGTGTAAAGCGAGAGCAGCTTACTACTCTTAAGCGTCATACCCTACCGGGCGCGTTTCAGAAGCATTTCAGAAGCGGAGCGATTGCCTGCCGGCTCGCAGTTTTTGTTGATTTGGGCATATTTCCTGGAAAGGCTACTTTGTACAGACAAAGTTGATAATAATTGTAATATTTCAGTTATAAACAACATGAATCAAAGATGTGTTGCTTTATTTTAGTGGTAAAAAAATGCATTCATCATCATAATTATTCTATTTTACACAGTGCCTGTAAACCGGAGGAGAACGCTGGCATTTGTCCTCCTACTTGAAAGACTACAGAGGGATAGTGTCTGCAAAATTAGTTTATTTTGGGGATGAGCCGGATGCTCTGACCGGTCCACTTCCTGCCCGGCGCCTCTGCAACGCCTCGTGTCGGAAAATAGACTTGAATCCTATTTTGTGCCGAGACGCTTCTGGGACGCTTCTGAGCAGTAACACGGCGCGTCTGGTGGAATAGCACCCATTGACTAGAGTGGCCGCGATCTTTGCGAACGCCGCGGCGCAGCCGTAACGTGGCCGTAACGTGGCCGTAACGCGACGCAGACGGACCCGGTGGAATCTAGGGGTAAAGGGAGTCCATGTACGTGAGTCCATGTACGTTAGTTTTGCTGCTATAGGCTTAGACTGTCGGGGGACACCTTACTTCTTCCTTCTGTCTGTACCTGTGTACTCTCATGTTCTGAATAACCCAGCTTCCCCCAAATTTATTTTTGGTGTCTATCTACGCTGGGATCCTGAGTCGTGGCTGATCCTGTTGCTGCGGTCCTGTGTCCTGAATCCTCTATCATGAGTTCTGGATTTGGGTCCTGGACTTCGAGTCGTGCCTGAACCTATCGCTGTGGTCCTGCCTGACTCTCACTACTTCCCTGATGGCTCCCACAGGATTGTTGACATCCTCGTGGATTCATCTTCTTATTATAGACACATGCATTTCCAAACATTTGGTCTATCTACGCTGTAAAATGTATTATCTCTTCGATTTACACACGGCATCTATTGCACGTCTGTCCGTCCTGGGAGAGGGATCCCTCCTCTGTTGCTCTCCCTGAGGGTTCTCCCATGTTCCCCTTTAAACTGTGGGGTTTTTCTCTGGAAGTTTCGATGTGAGGGTTCAAGGACAGAGGGTGTCGTATTGTCATACTGATATTCGTACAAACTGTGTCCACTGAGACAAATGTAACATTTTGTGATATTGGGCTATATAAATAAACATTGATTGATTGATTGATATTTCCATATTTATTCCTATATTTATTTCCACATTTGTTTATTCCTGTATTTTTTATTCCTGTATTTATGCTTTTATTTATTTTGCACTCATGTCATGATCTGTCCTCTACTGATGAGGATTAGGGCCATATGAATGTATTTTTTGGGGGATGTGAAAAATTATGTTTTTTTTTGTTCTGAGAAAAAAGTCGGAATTTGGAAAATGTTTTCACATCCCCACATCTGTTTTCTTCATGTGGCCCTAATCGTCCTCCATACATGAGTGCAATGCATTTTAGTGGATAAAAGACAACGCTGCACGCTCTGGGTATGGTGGTCCTTCATCTGCCTGCAGGGGCGCTGTCGGTGCGTTTTCTGCAGACTGATCATATGACAGCTGCCTGCGTCCCACTTCCCTTCCTCGCTGGAAAACGCCACATCTGACAGGGAGGGAGAGACAGACACTACCGTGGGGGAGTGTGGACACCGACCTGAAGATGCTGGCCCTAGTGAACCGGCTGCTGGACTGGTTTAAGACTCTGTTTTGGAAGGAGGAGATGGAGCTGACGCTGGTTGGCCTCCAGTACTCGGGAAAAACTACATTTGTAAACGTGATCGCTGTAAGTCTTCAGCTGCTAGCCACCTTGCTAGGGGCAGTGCTAATACTATTAGCGCTAATAATGGGATAAGAGTTAGGCTAACTAGGTAATGCTACACTGTCTGGGTCTTCGGGTACAAAAACAATGTGACGTTGATATGTTGTTTAGGACAGAAGCATCCATAAAAACAAACATGGACATGAGTCAGGTTGTAGGAAGAGTGTCAACAAGTCAGCTGAGCTAACTAGTTTTCTGCTGGAGGGTCGTCGTCGGCTAGTGGCTAATTATGTTAGGATTGTTTAGCATGCTGAAACCTGAACGCAACATACACATATATGCCTTGTTGTGGTAAAATTGCATCACTTACTAGCTGTAGGGTCGTGTTATAGCGAGTAGAAAGCTGTCAGACAGGAAGGTAACTGAGAACATGTTGAACCTTTCAGCCACTGCTGACTACATACGTTACAGGTGTCCTGCAACAGGTTAAAAATGACCTCCTCCGCAAAAAACAAATGATTTTTTTTACAGATTTTAGGAGCCTAGAACAAAAAGTAAATCTGTAGCTGAGTTAGTTTTTTTTTGTTTTAACATATTATTTGGACATATTTACAAAAATATCCATGTCTCAGTTGTTGTTGGTGTTAGTGTCTGAGAACAGGTTGCAAGTGGCATATTAAAAAGTGATATAAAGCTTAACAACTTTACAAGACTCATACTGCAGCAGCTTTAATGCAAATTGTGGTCATGTTACACACAGATTGTATCTTTGACCTCATGTGACTGCGGCTGCAGAGCATCCTTTCTTGCCAGGCCATTTCTCTTGTGCAACTCTGCAACTTTGTGCAATTTGCCAACATTTCTCAAAGGTTTATAGTGGAGCAACTTTTCTTTGGCTAATCATCAGACAGAAACTGAGTTTTCAGCAGCATATTGTGAAAAGTAAGCTTAAGTTTCTCTGCTTTGTTTTGAGTTGCTTATCAGTTTGATTCATAAATGAAAAATCAAACACCTCAACTAATCAGACAGAACTGGACGATTGAAAGATTTAATTGCAAAGTCGAAAAAAAGAAAGAAAACTAGTGCATAGTATTTTTTTGCGCAGAAACGTTTTGTTTACTAAGCATCAGATAGTTGGTGTCTGAGGAGGAAATGTGTGTGTTTTGTGGTTGGAACAAAACTAAGATCCTTCTTTCACACACGTAAGAGATGGCAGCCTCTGACACAGAGGAGTGAATTAATGGTTGTTGTGGGGGTGGTTCCTCCTTCCTCAGTCATGAGACTGCTGCACTCATTTCCACTTAGCTTCATCAGGTGACTCCTGCAAGTCATGTGCTGTGAAATATGCGTACAGCAGCCCGCTGGTTTATAAAAGAGCGCAGGGAGAAGGGCGAGACACAGCTTGGGAGTTTGATGTTAAAGGGGAATGCCACTGATTCTGTATGCTGAGTGACACTTCAGTTTGCAAAATGAGCAATCACAAAAGCCACAATACGTTGAGAAAAACATCTGGTTTTAGTGTTTTAAAGTATTTATCTTGGTTTGTTGATTTGCTTTAAGAGAACATATTGGCGTTTCACAAATACAAGTACCTGCCTTTTAACAGTTTTGGACACAGTAACACATAAACTAGATTTGAGTGTTTTTTCTATCATTTTTAAAACCTTTTCTGTACTCCATTTAAATCTTAAAGTGGACCTATCATGCTATATTTGAATAATATAGTGTAGGACCAAACCTATATAAGGCATATTTATACTTTTTATTTTTCAAAATACCAAACAGATCATGCATTTTAGCCATTCCTCATTTCGCTCAATGTAACACTGTCTTTGCATGGGCTGATTCTGTGAGAACAGGACCATCTACAGGCCTGGCATATGTACTATAGCGTCTCCAGCGCTTTCGAAAGGCAATGTCCGTGGCTGTCTCCTCCTGATTGGTGGAGTTGGCCCAATAGCCGTAGCGCCACTTCTGTGACGTCACAGAAGTTTTCAAATCTGGATCAGTCTGTATCAGATCCGTTGCAGCCCCTTTTTAAGAGATTTGGGTATGGAGGAAAAGAGAGAGGGTTGTGTTTTCTGACACTTGGTGAGTTCTCTGGAACACCGGGGAGTCGGGGACACATATTCATGTATAAAAGACGTACACGAGTGCATTTTGCATGATAGGTCACCTTTAAATACTGTATGATGAGAAGTATTACACTGTAAGCTATGTTATAATAAAGGTATGTAAACAAGTGAAAGTACAAGAGATCCAGTGCAGCATGTCATAATGACAATACATTTGTTCTATTAGAGATTATTTTATAGTTTATTTTAATATGGATGCATAAAACGGTTAGGTGATCAAAAACTCTGTAATACTGTGTTCTCTGTCCTCTTACTGGGCTGGAACATAATGGATTATGTTTTATGGATATTTTTCTTCGTATGAAATGGCCATCTGCAGCTTTATTATTCAGTTTTTATTGTCAGTTTTATTTTAAGATGTATTTTTACTTATGTATTTATTTTCAGTCTGGGCATTTCAGTGAAGACATGATCCCTACGGTGGGGTTCAATATGAGGAAGGTCACCAAAGGAAACGTCACCATAAAGGTATTTCAATCCTTCTACTGTCAGTGCAGTGTAACTGTAAATAACCTTTTTAATACAAAGAGGAAGTTATAATTAAAATATGAATATCACATGAAGATGTGCCTGTCATTCTGTAGATCTGGGACATAGGAGGGCAGCCAAGGTTCAGGAGCATGTGGGAGCGGTACTGTCGGGGGGTTAATTCAATCGTGTGAGTATATCAGTTTCAATCTTCATCTTTGTCTGACAAACATAATAAATGGTAACAAGCTCTTGAAATGGACGTAGTGTACTTTTAATGTATGTAAAACACATTTAACTTATTTTGGTCTTGCTCATTTCTAGGTACATGGTTGACGCAGCAGATCAAGAAAAGGTGGAGGCATCTAGAAACGAGCTTCATAATTTATTAGACAAACCTCAGTTGCAAGGAATTCCTGTAAGTGTTTTCCAGAAACCAATATTCTATTTCTGTACCAGTTATGCAGAACTGTGTGTGGGTTTTAACAACTATTACTTGATGCAGTTGCTTATTTAAATAGTCTTGTTTTTTTTAGGTTTTGGTACTCGGTAACAAAAGGGATCTCCCCAGTGCTCTAGATGAAAAGCAGCTCATTGAGAAATTGTAAGTATGACAAATGGTGCAAAGTTGTTATCAATTTAATTAAATTAGAGCTGAAGCACAGTGTTGCACTGTTTTATATGTACTTTAGTGCACTGTAGTCTCTTTATGTCATGAAATTGCCCTTTTAGTTTCTTTTTTAATGGTTTTATGGAAAAAAAATGTAGGACTCAATATCAGAATATCATTATTTCAAACTGTGTACAAGGTCTGGAGTTAAGTTACTATTTCCTTGCATTGAACATTTCTACAGTCTATTAATGTTCCTTGTCTGACACGTGTGGAAAACTTTAAATATTTTCATTAAACCTATATGCCTGACTTTTTCTTAATTTAAGAAATTGCAATAAAACATATAATAATTCTTAATATTAGGAAAGCAACCTGCATGAAGGAAGGTATCTGGAAATGGTTCCCTGCCCGACTATATGACAACTTTTCATTTCATCTGGTTTGCTTTTTCATCCATCAGCTGAACCAACATGTCTGCCTCTTACCTATGCAGCCTATGCTAATGACAATGCAATTTCCTCTGACATCTCTACTGGTAAAACTGTTGCTATGTAAAGCAGGAAATGGCTCCATCTGCTGTCATGTTAGAAATATGTGCAGAGTTGTTGCATAAGCTGCCTATGAGTGAGATTGATTGTCAGCCTGATAGCAAACTTCTCATATTTATGCCCCCTTTTCCCCTTCAAAGGAATCTGGCAGCCATTCAGGACAGAGAGATTTGCTGCTACTCCATTTCCTGCAAAGAGAAAGACAACATTGGTGAGTTGCAGTGATTGAACTCAATTTCAGAGTCTGGCATATGTCAATGACTAGCGAGAGGAAAACAAAAATAATGCATGATATGAAGCTGCAATGACCGTGCGATCAAATATTGCAATACGGATATCTTTGTCCTTTTGGCTAAGCAGTTTATTAAAGACTAACTTATAAATCGTCAAAAATAAAAAGCGTACATCTGTGCTTCATGGCTATTGTGACAGCTATTGTCTCTGTGAAGTGTTTTAGGGTGCCTTCACACCTAATAGTCTGTTTTCTGGTGCACACCAGACCACAGTTTGTTGCATTGTTTCATTTTTCACAAGGTTCGGTTTGCGTTCACACAAAACTCAAACGGACTATAAACTTTAAACACAAGTCATGTTCACGGAAATGCTGTTCAACCATTGGTCAGACATTAAGGGGGTAAAAACGCAAATCCCGGCAATTTCTACCAGAGCCTCCGCCATGGAGCATCGGCACTTTCGGCAGGTTATTCTCATGCTGCTGTTAATCTGGAGATCAACAGACTCTAGCGGCCCGCGCATATGATTATATAATCAGACAACGTCCGTTAAAAAAAATTATAACACATATAATGAGAGACGTTCTGCAGTAAGGAGGGGCGTTTCACCGACGACAGGTGTTCTTACTTTTATGTAGTTGACGGAGAATTTTTACTTTACACGACACTGTTCAACACTTCATTCTGCTTCACTCTTTAACTAAACAACCGCGGATGTCTTGAAAGACTCTTTCGCTAAAGATTTTGAAGATATCCGCGTTCTTGTGACACGTAAATACTACGCTTCCTATGTTTTGGTGCGGACTGCGTTCACACCAGCAATGAACCGCTCCAGAGTTCGCAAGCAAGCGCTCCGAGACCACCTATTTTAGCGGACCAGAGTCCGGTTGTTTAGTTCAGGGGTTCCCAAAGTTGGGGTCGCGAGACCCCGAGTGGGGGTCGCGAGATGATTACAAAATAAAAATAAAAAGATTATTAATAATAAAGTTTGCATAGACATTTTCAGGGAAGGACTAGCCATCTGTATAATTTCCCCGCAAAGAGCGCAGTGTTTCTCAAACTTTTTACATACCAAGGACCACTTAACCAATAAACAACACTCATGGACCGTCCGTCCGTCCGTCGACAGGGGGTCGCCAGTCTCTGGCACTGTTATTTTGGGGGTCGCGGGCTGAAAAGTTTGGGAACCCCTGGTTTAGTTCACTTCAGAGGTCTCGGACTGCGTTCACACCGACCCAAATGAACCGCACCAAGCGGCTAAACGCACCAGGGTTCGATTCAACCGGACTATAGATGCAGGTGTGAATGCGACCT